CCTCGCCCTCGCCCTTGCCCTCGCCCTTGCCCTTGCCCTTGCCCTCGCCCTTGCCCTTGCCCTCGCCCTCGCCCTTGCCCTCGCACTCGCACTCGCACTCGCCCTCGCCCTCGCCCTCGCCCTCGCACTCGCCCTCGCCCTCGCCCTCGCCCTCGTCCCTTCTCGTCCCCGTCCCCGTCCATCTTCGCCCTCGCGGACTCTCCTCCTCCCTCCGAGGCTCCGTGGCAGGGCAGTGATCGGAGAGAGCTTCCCGGATCCGACTCACTTCAATCTGTACCGTGACTGCCAGTACCGTCCGGCGTTTCATCCACTGGCATCGAGTCATGGCATGATGCCATGACTCATGATGCGATCTCAGGCTAAGATCCGACTCGTAGCCCATGTATAGTACCGGGTGGCTGTCCGATCACTTTCCAATCACTCGAAGAGTACCGTCTTCGAGTCCCGGATCACACTGACAGGCTGAGTGATCGCAGTCGGACTAGGCTGAGCCTAGTCCGAGAATCAGTGAATGATTAAAGATTAACTACCGACTGGGCGTGGGCCCCGCGATGTCGGAGGCCTTGAGTTCCCGGTGGCCGCAACGGTTCCGAGCGGGCAGTGAAACGGCGTCGGTCGGTGGGACTCGGGGGAGGCCGTGTGGACACCATTATGATATCGGATGGATCATAATTCATAATCCTATAACACTATTGGAAGATTTGTCAAGGTGTGCTGCTAATTATATATAAAATTTACTATTATGTATATCAAGGTTCAATAACAAGAATCCTTCCCACAAACTCTACCCACCCTACCCCTGGGAGCTGGGGCTGCAGTCTGTGCTGTGCAGTCGTCACTGATACTCGAGCCAAGAGGGGGTGGGTAGTCTGAGAGAATCATTGGTGACCCCGTTTTGGGGAACATGTTGGGTCACGGGTAGGGGTAGTCGGTAGTAGGAGGTGGTGGAGGAGATACCCCCTAGGTTAGCTTTATATGACCCCCACCCGCATCGCCCTCCACCCCCTAGCTGGTCACATCCCCGATTCCAACTTTGTTTTTAAAATTCCTGACGAGCATGTACCCCCACCTTTCTGTCTTCAGTACCCACCACTCACAGGCAGAAATTGGAGCAACCCCACCCCAGATTGTGTTTAGACTACCCTAAAATTCTTCTGTGAGTACCCACCAATTAGATAGTTGCCTACCACAACCACCTTGTGTAAGCCAAACACACCCACCCACCTGACTACCCCTACCTCCTGCTAGGAGTGCCTATTCTTTTTTGCTGTCACTATCTTATCCACCTCCTGAACACCCACCCCACAACACGTAACAAGAGTACCCCCACCCCCCTCATACCCCACCCTTTCAAGCGGCACTATTCCCCCTTTTCTAGAAGCCCTTGCACTCGGCCCCAACCCGGGTACCCCCCTTCGATCAGCACATGTTCCCTCCCGTGCCCCCGCCACCCCCCCATCGCATACCCCCTATCTCCCTACAAGTGCATCAAAATTATACACACCCCTACCCCCTAATTTCATTCTCCTTTTTAATGTCTGGACCCACCTCATCCAGATCCGCTGAACAGCAGATGGGACCTCCTTCGCACCCTACGGCTCTCCCACCTTTTCTTGTAGTTCTGCTCTTTAACCCCAACCCCACCCCCACACCTCCACCTGCTTTGCTCCACCCCTCTCCACACTCACCCCGGACAAACGGACACCCCCATACCTACCCCGGTGAGCATTCGTCTATAACCCCTACTATAAAATTCCGACACCCTACCCATAAATCCAAAAAAGTACCCACCCCTTCTTTCCGAAACAGTCCCCCTTCGCAATGCTCACTGCGTCTGTGTCGAAAGAAGGTGGCGAATAGCACGATAGCTGGCTAAGCAGCGATGAGAATGGCTCGTATTGAGAGGAAAGAAGTGGACCTTACGAGAGGCTAGTTGCTGTTTGTGCCAACATACGTGCAAGAGGCTTTACGTAGCATGCTTGTTTGGATCCGGGATTGCAACCTGCTACGATGTTGGCATGATGAGCAAGAACTCTTGAGACTGTGCATATCTACTCGAGCATTCCATCCTCACAGAAATGATATTATCCTTGTATCCTCTCCCACCAAAACTTGTTCCAAGTGCTCGCATCAACCATGGCTCTGGTCGTGACTCGCGCCCACAGATGAGACCGTCGGTGGACACCAGGTCGCCCCTCCCAGAGCATTACAAGCTGAGGTATGTGATGACCGGATCAGGGATGATGAGACTCTGATCCATTCAATGCAGACGAAAACTCATCGAGAAAGAGGAATATGATCGGATCATTGGAAGGAAGCCAGGCTTTCTGGATTGGTTGAGCGTGAAGCAGCAGCAGTACAACATAACGAGGTTCGCGGGCTTCTCGATTCTCTTGAGGATCTGATCATGACCTCAGCGTTCTTTATGTCTTAGACTGGTGGGAAAAGATTCTCTTCAACATCTTCATGTTTAGGTGCTTCATTGATGTCCTGGTGCTCTCTGACAGCACTTTTTCGTCAAGTGTCTTGTTCGGAACAGTCTTTGCCATGTCCCTTTACAGCCAGAGCTCAGGCTTGCTGTTAGCGCTCAGCATCTTTCTGATGGGTAAGGCAACAACCATTGTCTCTCCTTCCATACGTGTCGTCCTGTAGAAATCGTCTGACATGAGGTGTTGTACAGGAGTTTTAATCTTGCTCCTCCTCTTGTGCCCTCTGCATCAATATTGAAGACACGTGAATGTTTCGAGCATGACTTGTGTGTACTGTAGTGTAGTGTTTTCATTTTCAAAACATTTCTCCTTGTTTCAGCTTTCTTCCAATGATGCCGTAAACCTGATGTTTGAATCGCTCATCCCCATCGCATGACAGTCGCTCCCCAGCTGAGACCAGCCCCAAAACCTGACAGTGCACGAAAGACTGTGAGCAAGACGAAGACAACAACAACATCTTGACAACCAGCACAGGCGATGACGTCTCCTTTCTTGACCTGCCCAACGTCAGAGACAGATGGGAGGGGAGTCAGATTTCCAACCTTGCCCGATGCTATGGCCTCCGCCAGAGCGAGGGGAATGGAGGCGGCGCTGGTGTTGCCGTACTCCTCCAAGTTATGCAAGACCTGCAAGCAGAGGTCTCAGAAGAGCAGCAACTTAGAAGGAGGAGGAGGAGGAAGGAGAGAGGGAGGAGGAGAAAATCGAGGATGACGAGGACAAAGAGGGCCTGACGAGGAGGTGGGAGAGAACGACAGGCGTGTTAGACTCTCACCTTCTCCATCGGGATTCCGAGCCTTTGAGCAACAACCTCCATTATGCGGATGTTCGCCTGATGCAGCAGCAGCCAGTCTACGTCCTCCGTCTTCATCCCAGCGTTCTCGAGCGCCTCCTCCAAGACCTTGGGCACCTGAAGGGAAGCATCGTTAGGTAGTGGCTTTCATATACAAGGGAGGCGGTGAGACGAGAGCTCCAAGGGGAACAGGACGAAGAGCAGCGGTAGAGGCTGGGATGACGATGATGATGATGATGAGGAGGAGGAGGAGGAGGAGGAGGAGGAGGAGGTGGAGGAGGAGGAGGTACTCACCTCACGGGTAGCGAACTTGTAGATCTCCTTGCCCACCATGCCAATGGAGGTGTAGGACCCTTGAGTGATAGTATGCTCCGGTCCAACCTGCTTGTTCTCCCGGCATACTTCAAGTGAAGGTTGCAGTACCTGACCCCAATCATCATCTCGCTGCGTCTTCCCTTGTCCTCATCTTCTGCTTCTCACTCCTCACTCTCTTCTCTCTTTCTCAAGACAAACCAAAGTCTCACGAGACCCTCCAATCTCTAGCCTCTACTTCAAAACACATCAAAACAGATTGTTCACGCTGCTTCTCTTGTTGCCCACATCCTTAAATAGCCTTCCTGTTTCCCTCCCCATCCCTCCCTTCCTGTTCCCCCTATTGCTCTCTTCTTACCCATTCCCATCGCTGTGCATCTCAAAGCCGAGGATTCCGCCCTCTTGCACTGACTCCGTCGCGGACAGCACCTGTTGGGGAGGGAGTTCAGCTCCTGCTGGGGACTGGGCCTGTGCAAGCTCACCATAGCTCCAGCTCCATCGCCGAAGAGGACGCACACGTTGCGATCCTCCCAGTCCACCCAACGCGAAAGAGCGTCGGCTCCGATCACCTGCCGCAAGCTCTCACGCGCCTCCTTCCTCCCGCGCTCCTCACCAGCGCCTTCTTGTGCCCTCCGTTGTTGAGGAACTGCGAGGCCGTGACCTGACAGCAGCTCAGCACAGCTGAGGGGAGGAGAGGAGGAGGCTGACAGTGGCAAAGAGGAAGCCGGAGCAGGCGGCGGTGAGGTCAAAGGCGAATGCGGAGGTGATGCCAATGGCTTGAGCGACAGCAGGGGCGTCCCCGAACATGTCGTCAGGCGAGCTTGTCGCCACGATCACCTGCTTCTTGTCAAACTTGCCCGACGCCTCCAGCTTAACTCCACCAGGTCAATCTCCTCAGGTTTCACACCAGCGTTGGCAATGGCGGCCTTTCCAGCTCTGCACAAGCATCATCACCAGTACCCGCCCAGAAGGCGCAAACTACCTGATCGCCAAGTCTCTGAGACCCTCGCCGCCCCCAAGCACGTGTCTCTTCTCAATACCGGTCCTAGTAGAAATCCACTCCTGCTCCCTCCGTTCAGCGACCCTCCAGAATTCTTCTGTCTCTCTTCCTCCCTCCCTCCCTCCCTCCTTCACTCCCCCGTCCAAGGCTGCTGCTCTCCTCCGCCTCCTCACATCAGTGGTCTCGACGATCTTCTCCATGTCCTTGTTGGTGATCACTGCTGCTGGTGCCGCGTGTCCGATACCAATGGGTCGAGCCTTGAGCTGTCCTCTTCCAACCTTAC